GAGTTAAGATGAAGAAATAAAAATTCAGTTAAAATACAAAATGATTAAGCAAGAAGAATGAAAATACAAAAGCGACTAAGCACCATACTTGTTGGTAAGTAAGTGTTTTAGTGTGCGTGTGTGTGTCTGTATGTGAAGGTGTCATTGTGTCATGAACATCTTATTGCAACTACAATAATGTTGAACGCTTAAATTGTTAAGTGTAAACGTTTTTTCTGAGTTATTAACTGACAGAGATTTATATTAATATATTTAGCTTAATGGGCATCCATTAGTCTCCCCATAATATTCTTGGTTTCTTGTTGAATTTCTTTTGACTTTGTTGAGGGAGAATATGGCGGTGCGTGTACATTAATGGGGGTGAAGCCACACTGAGGGATGTGACTGCTTTTCCGACCATGGTAAAGCCAAGTAAGGCACTTTTAAGAATGGATTATACACTGTGGGGAAAATTTCATGCTAGAGGCAATTCCTCAAAGTCAATGAAGATATTCCACTTGAAAGGGTGATATATTGGATGAGGGTAAAATGGTGGTTTTTAGCAACTCGAAGATAGCCTTCAGGTGAAGGCTATTGGAATTAAACTTGGTATACCCTTTTTTTAAAGTTGTTGTTTTATCAACATTTTTTTTCTTAGTATTGTTGTAATGATAGTTTAATGTATTTGTTGATGTTTTGTTCCACGTAGCAACTACGTGGGTAAATAAAATATAAAACACATTTAAAGTAAATAAAAATTGCAAGTCCTTTACTACAAAAATACACAATTGAGAAAAAGGCAAAGCAAAACTAAAGTAAATAGTAAATAAGCAATACAATTAAAAAAGAAGGACACAATTTAGTAGTGGTGCAATTCACCTGAAGCGGTGAAGTTTTTATTTTATGCATTTCTGGCATTCATCTAATAGCTGCAGTTTAAAAAGCAAGTGTATTAGACCGTATCGATTTTAGAATATTAGTAAGATTTTATTTGTAGTTGCTGGATTAAAAAAAAAAAACATTTAAATTACCTATATTTAAATTTTCGAAACGCAATAAAATAGCATATTAAATCAGAAATTTTTTTAATTTGTAAATTTAAATTTTACGCCGATATAGTTATATTCGTCTGTCAAACTACACTTTTTAAATTTTTGTACAATCTATAATATTGGTGCGGGGATGTTTGGAAACCAGGACAAATCGACCCTCGATTTTGTAATTGATCATGCTGTAATACGGGATTGGTATGATGTTGTTAATTTGACATAGCCCCATATGACGGTATCTACCGATTTTCGGTATTCTGAAAGTTCTAGCCGTATTTCTAGCGGAAGAGGGATTAGTTTATAGTTTTGCATTCTCCGTTGACAACAAATTTCCTCTGAAGGTAATTTTGAATATAAATTAATAATATAACAAAAGTCCACATTTTGACATATAACGAGAAAGTGGAGAATCTCACCACAAGAAATGTTCGAGATCCTAACTACATATTCTAAGCAAATTAATGTAAGTTGTATGGACTAAAAACATGAATAGGTGTACAACCAACTTTTTTCACTCCAATGGGACTGTAATTTGGCATTCCGGGTTATAAGAGGGTAAAAACCATATGTGCAAAAATTATTCTCCATATAAATCCGGTCCTATTGTCAGTATTTTGAAAGATATAATTTGGTGAACGGTATAAAAAAAGATAGGTCCATTTGAACCTGAGGACTTTTTTACATGTTACACTGTAAATGTTCTTATGGAAATTATAACCTTGGCGATTATATTAAGAAAACAGAAGATTTTACATAGGTTACTCAAAGACAAGAAGTTAATATTCTTGTGTTTCCATCGTCCTTTTCTACTGGTATTCGATTCTCGCCCGAAAGAACATATAGGTTCGTACACTAATAAATTTCGAATAAATAGTAGAGTATGAAGAACTGTTGGACTCGTCAGAAATATTTACCATGAATAGAATTCATTATACCAAATATGTCAATAACATTTAGTCGGGGGAGGCAGATCCAGATTACTATTTTTATTTCTACCAGATTATAAACAAAATGTATCCGATTTTTGTACGCATGGATCAGCTATATATTTTTTAATTTATTGGCCCTATCAGGCCTTCGCAACATTCTAGTAGCACATGGGTTATGAAAGTATAAATAAATTAAGAAAAATACGATATGTTGACAATTTGTTAAGTAGGTACCTAAGGGAGTGGATCAATAGGACCTATTTTCAGAATTTATCTAGATTTTCAATTTTTAAAGTTCTAAACAATTTGGGGAGTAACCATATTTATATATTTTCAAAATATGGAACCTTTTGGGGGAAGTAACTGAAGGTTTGGATCAATAATTCCCAACCTCGAACACCATATAGTTTTAGTAAAAATAATATGGATCAAAACGGATAATGTATAGGATCATGATAAAATACGTGTCTGTAGTCTGGTGGACAGCTATGGCCATCAAATTTAACCTAAAAGCATTTCAGGAAGTAAAGAAAACATATTGCCTAGGTATATGTGAGCCAATGAGGACAACACCAACTAGGGTTTTGGATACTATATTGTACATACATCCAATTGATATCCAAATAAGACTTGAAGCACTGAACAAGTGGGCCGACTTGACTAAATGGCGGACATATGAAATGTTATTTCTAAAAAATCACTATTTTCGACCCAAACTCGAGTTTTAAAGAGGATCTTGATTGCATTTCTCCTAGTTCATATCCTAGTTCGACACCGAACACATCACAACACACCTCATCTCAATATATAGGCTATAATCGGAACCTCAATCAACTATTTTGAGCCAAATTTAAAACCTGAAACAAATGTAGTCATATGGCGTGACTATGTACTCTTGTTTCAAGTATCAGGAAGATCGGAACATGACAACAAATACCATGACATGTAGTATACAATCTATAAAAATAAAACCTCCAAAACAGTTCAATCCAAAACTGTTCTGGAATGCATTAATTCCATAAATAATTTCTTACAACACGGCCTTGTACGAATATAGGAAACCTATTAATCAGAAGTGATACTGTCCAACCTTCTATAGATGTGAACAATGCTAAACCATTTAGCGCAATACGTCTAGAAATAAGGTCACGGTCGAAATGTTTAGGAAATTGAAAATCTACAAAATGCTGCGGGGAGATTCAAATGAAGATAAGACTATGCAAATCTAAGGCACATTTGAACATGACAGGATGCGAAGGAAGCAGTAGGTGTAAAATTATACTATTCACGAACTATACTATTCACGAGTGAACTAATAGAAAAGTCTAAAGACTTCACCAAGAATAAAAAAACTTCAAACGTGTTATTTTCAAAATTATGTTTTTAAAATCAGTGGTCATGGTAGCTGAAAAATCAGCTGATCCAATATTCATATGTATTTTCTGGGATTATTGTAGATTTCTTTTAATAAAAAAAATTGTTGTTTTTTGTGGATTATAAAAACGTTTGTTATGTTCGATGTGCGTCCCGATAGGCGGATACGTTTTAAGTAAACTCTAGTTATTAATTATACGTCACACTGGCATTTTTGGGGGTAAACAATTTATCTGCAGGATTTTTTTTTCAAAATATGCTAATGTTTTCATGCAGCCCCCATTTAAAAGTCCCAACCCAGTTGAAACAGATTTGGACATAATTTAATATTTTGAGTTTTCAGAGTATAAAGTAGCAGTCATTCTGAGTATAATGATGTGTTTTAAGAATTTGAGAGTTCCACCACAAATTTTCCGCATAACTTAAACTCTCTCCGTATAAGGGTCGGATTGATTTTAGGTTTAAGTTATCTTGAAGTCCACTATTTTCGACCCAAACTCGAGTTGTAAAGAAGATCTTGACCGATTGCATTTATCCTAGTTCATACTATAACCTGTTAAAATTTAGAACTGATTGGATATATAATTTTTGCAGTTATCGCGCCAACAAAAACACTTTTTGAGAAAAACGCGTTTAAAGTTTGAGAAACACCCTTCTGACACAATAAATAGGCTATATCTTCAAGAGTTGTTGAGATTTTCACTTTAAATTCGGAAGGGTCATTTTTGAATTAGGGTAGGTTCGAGTTAAATAAAAAACAAAAATTCAATTTTTTGAAACTAAAAATAGAAAGCAACCGTTATCTCAGAGAATTTCTCTATGTTGTGTTAATTGTCATATCCCTCTTCTATACTATCCAAGCTTTATGTCAAATCAAAATCCAAGTGTTTCGCCAGAACAATATAATAATATAACATTTAAGTTAGAACATTAAATTTTCGATTTTGAACAAAAAATCTCTAGCGTTATCTGGGTTAATAAAGGGCCCTATCGGCGTATACGTTATAATTTAACTGTTGTTGTTCATTATACGACCCAATGAAATGAGATTTGTTGTAAACAGCCTTTATGATTGAAGATATTGATATGAGCCGATTAGCATTTCAAAACATTCTTATGCCTTGAAGAGATGAAACGCGGCTCCATAAAGTGTATTTTGAAGACTTTAGCCGAAAACAATATTTTACGACTGATACATAGTTGTCGGTCATCGTTGATTGTTACTAAATGGTTCATACATTAAATTTTGATTTTGTATATTTTTACATTAATTAAAAATTTAAAAGAAATTGATACGGTCTAATACACATTAAAGTAAGATTCAATTAGGTATGCATTGTTTATATATTTTATTGTTGCTATTGCAGTGGTGATTGTGGTGGCATTAGTTTAAGAAGCGGTAGTAAGTAAAATTGTGTAGCTGTAGCTGTTGTTGTTGTTATTATTGTTTTACTTTTATTGTTGTACTTGTTATTGTTGCTGTTATTGTTACTGCATTTGATGTAGTGGTTATGTGTATGATTTCCAAACAACAACTTTGTATTCTTTGCAATTCTTATTGTTTTCATTTCTGTAGGCTTTGTTGCTATTGTTGTTGCTGTTGTTTTTTTCTGTTCTGTTCGGTTCTGTTGTTCGTTTTTCATTTTTTTCATTCTAATTTCAAACTCACCATTTGCCCCACACTGACATCCGGCCGGGCGTTGCTTTCTGTGTTTGTACAACCACCGATTTCTATGCCAGCCGAAGCTTCTTAACCTCTGTGCCATTGTCTTTGTTTTGTGACGTGTTTGCTTATCGTTTCGCTTACTACTATTATCCGCTTGATGTTGAGCTTTTAAAGCAGCTCCACAATAGAGACATTTGCTACGCTCACCACTACCCCGGGTCATACTATTGACACTGAATGTAAGACACTTGGTGACACCGCCGCCGCTGCCGTCATCACCACCGCGACCACGACCACCGGCACTACCGTCGACACCATTGTGGTGATGTTGTGTGGCCACATTGTGGTCAAGCATTTGTTCGACTTCTTCCTCGTCGACAAAAATGCAAATGCCACCGCGTCTTTTCAATGAGGATTTACTTGAGAAATCTGGATCGAATTCTGGAGTTTGTGGTGGTGGACGGGGGGAGGTTGAGGTGGAGGTTATCATGGAATTCGTTCGGTCAATAGGTAGCAAACGATTGTGGTCGATATACAGAGACATACACATATGTACATTTTGGTTGGTATGGTAGTAGTAGTTGTTGTTGTTCATAGTAGTTGTAGGATTTTTTACAATTGTTTTTGTTTTTTTTGTAAATTTAAAAATATATACAAAAGAGAGTTATAGGAATAATAAATTTAGTTAGGGGTTTTATTTACAATATTTTTTGTATTTTTATATTTTCTGTAGTAGAAATTATTTTTGGTATTGGTCGGATGAATATCGAAATGTATGTACGATATAATTGATAACGAAACGTTTCCATGCTGAAGGCATGCACTGAACATTAGAATGACTTTGAAAAGCAAAGAGAAGATTTGTTTTTCTAAAGATGAAATGACAGTTGAAAAGAAGAAGAAGAATATAAGAGACATAACCCGCTATAAAACTGCTATTTCTGATGCCAAATATCCTACGATTCCCTAACATTAATGAGGAACTCAGAATCTGAGGGGTGTGCCCAAAGTAAATGTCTAACAAGTCATAAACGATATATCCCCCAGCATGGATTATAAGTTGTTCTAAAAATATTTTATGAAAATATTGGCTGTCAAATTGTTTAAAAACAAATCTGCACATCTGAAAATGAAATTTAGTATGAAGGTAAAATCTCAATGCTATACTTTCATAAAAACTAATAAATATCTATTTTATAAAACAACTAATTGGAATTACGGCAGACTATTTCGCAATAGTAAAACTACCTAAAATTTGGCCTACGCACTCGACATCCTCACAAAATGCGGAATAATGTGTGGTGGAAATCGTGCCGGAACCGACCGAATAATGGGGTTTACCGTTATATGGGGGCCATCGTAAAATGTTGACCAATATTTATACATTTGATTAGGAAGATGTGTCACTCCATGATTTCAATCATACATTTTGATTAAAAAATCTGTCCAATCTTCCCAAAATACCGACTAATGGGGATTATAGTTATATGTTGGTTATCCTAAATGTGGACCCATATTGATCATTTTATAGTGATTTAAATGGACAGGCAGACGGTCTTGCATAAATCGAAATAGAATTTCTACGGGAAATATTTATAGGTGTTGCAAATTTAATATTCACATATAATATTCACTCTGTTGGAGTTGAGAACGATTTATGCTATTGCTAGAAAATATTGAGAGAGGTGTGATCAATTGATGAAAAATGATTGTGCACCAGAATCACAAAATAAACCATAAGTCAAATATTTATTTAGCACATAATAGGTTCGCACCTCTGTTTTATTTATACTGATAAGGTCCTCATCAGTATAAATAAAACAGAGGTGCGAACCAACGTAACCTATTAGTAATAAAAAGTTCTAGTTGGGTAGGAAAAAATTGTTTTCGAATATATGGAATAAGAATCTTACACCCCCCTACAGATGAAATGCATCCGAAACACTCCGACATTCTAATAACTAACCCATGACGAAAACATTGAGGGCGTTGTTCCTAAGCAGCGACAAAAAATTTGGCCCATCAATAACGAAACTGACATAAGGACTAATCGAGTAAGATGTTGATGCTTTGCTTGAAGTTTCTCCCGAGTTAAATCCCAGTATCCAAGGAACTTTGAAAATACCAAGAACAAAAGTTGGTCAAAAGTAGTTTAAATGTTCTAAGGGATTAGTTATGCTGAAACAACAATAGCAAAAAGGTTCATTAGATTTCACAAAAAATTTTAATGGTAAGACATTATTTTAGAAATATTTTGGACGTACAATTTTTTGTGAGAAACTTTTTTTGAGGACAATAAAAATGAAAAAAACACTCGCTGTTTAAAAAACAAAAAACATGCGAAAGAGGTGTTAAATTTGGCCGGGCCGAACTTTGGATATCTTCCACCATAGGTATACTGATAATTACTTGAACATAGGGAACATACCAAAAATTATACCTATACCAACAATTGTACCAAGCGATTGTTGTAAATCATAATGTATATAAATAGAAATTTTAACAATTTTTAATGGAGATTTTTACTAAAATCGTAAAACTCCAAAACGTGGACCAATGATGAACATTTGTATAAGATCCTTAAAATACTGCGGTTTAGAAGGCGATGTTATATGAGGTCATCACCAACGTACACAGGATTTTATTTCGGGGTGGGGTGGAAGCTGCTGGTTCAAATACAGATTGTCATAAAAAGCACATTTATATGCGTTCACTCCTGGAGGCTGTACCTAACGCGGGACCATTGTTGATTACATTGGTAATTCATACATTGTTGTATGAATTACCGATGACCGACATTTTTGCATCACAATACCTTCCGTAACGCTAAATATTAATAATACCGCAAATGGGTATCTCTATATTCTCCGAAGGTAGAACGATTGCAAGAGATGGCTAAATCGTCTTAGAATAAATCGTCATACATTCGAGTACAGAATATCCTCCTACTATGGTGTAATACAACTAACGTTATATGGGGTAGACATTTAGTATCCAATGGGGTGAAATTTAGTACCCAATAAGAACCCGATGTACCAAATTTCAGCAAATTCGGTTGAAGGACCCCAAAATACCGAAAAATGGATTGCCTTATTCCAAAAATAATTGCATTTTTTCGATTTCACATTGAAATCTCGCTATATTTTAGGCTCTGAGTCTGACTTTCAACATTTAAAACCAGTAAGGAAAGTAGTAAAGTCGGACTGGGCCGACTATATGATCCCTTCACCACTTTGGGTATATTGATTATATGTATCCTTACAATTGCATGTCAATGTTCCCTCGAAAGAACATGATAAATTAAATTTCATTCGGGCAGATTTAGCGTCGTCTGCGTACCATGGGACAAATTTATGGAAAACGATATATTGCAAAATGGATACACGCCGAATAGCGCCGCACTGTTAAAAATTTAATTTAAATCACACATCCGTTCAAAATACATATGGAAGCTACGGCTGTATCTGCACCAATTTAAACAAAACGCAATAAAATTCGTGTTAATCGCACAAATATTAGGAGTTTGGTGCACCATCTATATGCGACCTGTACCAAACACGTGGTGTTATCATTACATGAGGCTCAATTAGTCATGAGCACCCATATAGCTCAATTTCGAATCAAAAATGTTTGCATCACAATACCTTCCATCACGCTAAATATTAAAATTACACTATGGTGGAATACGACTATATGGGCATAAACCCAAAACAAGGAACAAATCAGTTAACTATTTTAAGGGATTTTTTACCAAAACCCAAGTTAAAAAATAAGGAAGATCTTCACCGATTGCCTTTATCCTAGTTCATACGATAGCTATACACTCACAGAGAAACGTCCCAACATTTGAAATCGATTGGATTATTAGTTTTTGAGTTATCGTGCCCGCCATTCTCAAAAACGCTGTTTGGAGAAAAACGCGTCCAATGTTTGAGAATCACTTTTACCGTCACATGATGCTAACACAATAAATCGGCTATATCTTCAAAAATTGTTGAGATTTTCACTTGAAGATTTATACCGACATTCTTGAATTAGTGTAGGTTCGTATTAAATCAAAACATAAAATTAATTTTTTTAACACCAAGAGTGAGGGGGGTCCCCTTAATTGGATTTTTTCCTAAAATCTCAAACCTAAAATGCGAACTGATATTTTAATTTGTTGGTGGTTTTTAAATTTTTGGAATTCATCATCAAATCTTAGAACCTTAAGATTTGATTATGACTAATCTTGTTTGTAAAGATTAAACGACGTTAATTTGGACTGGTCTGGGCATTTTATACACTCCACCACGTGGTTTGCTTTAAAAATTCTTTATATTGCTCGGGACATTTGTATGGGGTCTATGTTATTTTTAGATCGCAATCCCGAGTTATGGACATCAAATATCAAAAATTAAAAATGCCAGCAGGGTTTTGGGGTTTAGCAGTAATTTCCCATTGAATTTTCGAAATTGGTTCCTGTATTCACATAACCTGTATTTGGAAGGTTATGGACGAATTTCCCACAGAAGTTGCTGTAATTCGAAATCTTGGAGAGCAAACAAAAAAAAAAAAAAAAAAAAAATCATCGATATTAGTCAATGTTTTGACATTTTTGGGGGGCTTTGTCAAAATATCGATTGATATTGATTATGTTATTTTCGGAAAATTCATCAAAAACTTTCAAAATAACGAAACCTGTATATGGAGTTTATATAAATACTAGCTCGATTGGTAGTGAACGTTTTCTTTTAGAGAGCCGGGATTGACTATGAAGAAACGGATGCACCTGTAGCGAAACTTAAACAAAGACCAAGATGTTGGAATGACAAATGTAACGAATTCTTGCTGAATCTTGTTTTTAAGAAATCTGTGCGTGATTCGTGTCTTTATACAATGTTTCAAAGAAACTCTGTTGTGTACTTGTTAGTCTATGCGGACGATGTGTTGATTTCGGGAGATGATTTACAAGCAATAGAGAAAATAAAATCGGATCTGAGTGCTTCCTTCAAGATGTCCGATTGTGGACCCTTAAAGTATTACTTGGGAACGAAGATTGAATATGATAGCACTGAAGGCATAATGAAGCTAAACCAGAGAAATCACATTGATAAGATCCTTGAAAAATCAATGGCAGAATGCAATACTACAAAAACTCCAATAGAGAAAGCGTTGATTCTTCCAAAAGAAATCCAGGAGGTAACGGATAAACCATATCTTGAAATGCTGGGAAGTTTAATGTATTTAATGTTAAGCGTTCGACCAGATATATGTTATCAAATATCATACATAAGAAGATTTCAAAATAGTCTAGGCGAGGTACATTGGTCTGCGTTAAAAAGAATTGTTCGCTACATTAAGGGGACTAAAGACTTGGTTTACCAAGATAATCTCAGCGATGTTGGAAAGCGATATCATGGAGCAGTAAGAAACAGACAATAGCAGCAACGTCTTCCGGCGAAGCAGAATATATTGTCTCAGTAATGTAGTTTCAGAAGCAGTGTGAATTAGGGGTATTCTTATAGATTTACAAATTCTAAATGAATCTATAATAATCTACTAGGACAATAACGTAAAATATCAAAACATATTGATGTAAAATATCACTTCATTCGAAATTACAATTCAAAAGGAATTTTAAAACTTCAACATATACAAACAGATTCTCAAGTTACGATCAAATTTGTTAAGTTGAGATGGGGTGTTGTGACACTCTGAATATTTCCATTTCACTTTTATTTTTTGTTTCAATCACATACGTTTGCATTTATTGTATAATACATATTTCTGGAAAAATATTTTTTCTCCTTCGTATGTATACCTTGTTCTCTACTTAATAAACTTTTATATAGGTACAAATAAATAAACACCGCGTTTTATCTCTGCAAGATTATTATAAAAGAAATTTTTCTTAAACCTTCCCAAAAGGGGCGGGACCTTCTTGAAGGGGCTATATGAAAACTTGGATATATACAATTTTCCGAATAAGTATGTTTACCCTCCAATATTGTGGAATGCCAATTACTATCACTTTGGCCTTTCGGTACCGAAAATTGGTCGGTACCTATACCAAAACTTAAACCGTTATTGATAAGTTTTGGTAGAAAATTGAACTGATTTAAAAAAGAAAAACAATCGTATTTGGTGCACAATTTGCGTGATCAAATAATATCGTCATCGTAAATATACATGTTATTCTAAGCCTCTGGAAAAAATTTCGTCCCAATGAGGCACATATTTTGAATCTTGGTATTAAACTTTCGCTTTACAATAGCGAGCCATAAAAATGCGTCGATATGGCAATATGATATGTTTTTTTTTCAAAATAATATATCTTTTTTCTTTTGCAGTTCATTATTTTAATTATAATTTTCAAATTAACCATAGTTCGTTCCGAATTCAGTTTACAAAAGTTAAATTTTTTTGAAGTTAAAATAAATTTAAAATTATCACACTTAAATATAATTTTTACTCGCCATTGTACTTTTTTTTTGGCTCGCTACTGTATATTTGTTTTAAATAAATTCTCTATCGTTTTCGTAATATTCCTCAACATCTCATTATAAAAAAACATCCTCAGATTCTGAGTACCATCATTCCTATTATTCCCTTTTCGTTCATTTCATTATACCCTAATTCACCGTAAGCAATATATTACTCTTTTTTATTTTACAACATTCGAATGCTTTGCAGACTAATTAACCCGATGAAATTAGCAGAACAGCAAATGGAAGTCCATGATGTTAATTAATGAACCCAAATGTGACTGCCTACACCAATCAAAGTTGTTACATTCACTGGCGAATGGAACAGATCATTGTTAACGTTTAAGGAACATTGATGTGATTAATAACACTTAGAAAAAGAGGAGAGAGAAAAATGAAACAAAACATTAAACCAAGAACAAAACAAAAAACATAAAAAAGAACACTTTTAACAGATTGTCAATAACACAACGAATAACATGACGAACTAACAAAATGAAAAAAAACAAGAACGACGAATGAACTGCAATAAACTTGAAGACATTTCACTTAACGTTAACTTCAAACATAAAACTTTAATGTAGAACAATGTTCGTGATAGAGAATTTTCCCTCCCCTTAAAAGTAATTACGATAGGGGTTAGTAGTCTAAACCACACAGATGAAAGGTTAGTTGTTTCTTTTTTAAATGTTAAAGGCTTATGATGTAGATAGCTTTAAAGCTTTAGTATGGTGTGAAAGAAAAAAGGTTTAATGTGAATAGATATGGTGTTGATGATGGTATATTATTAATTTGTTAAGATAATTTTATATAATTATATGGTTATATAACATATATTACAATATTGTATAATATATTTTATAGAGTAGTATATTAGTGGTTGTGTGATATGGGTTATTTTGTAAACAATTTCAAAAAATACTGCATAATTATTAACTGATTATTATATAATTACTGACTGAGTAAAATATAATGAAAATATGTTATGTTTGGCCGGATCGAAATGTTATACCTTCCATCACATGTATTTGACTAAATGGACGATATAACAATATTGTAAGTAGGGATATTTTATAAAATTGCGATAAATCCTCAGTACCATTAACATTGCATGAAGCTTATACATAAAAGTGGACCCATACTAGATATTTTCTTTACCCACTAAAATTACTGCCAATTTGTTTGAAAAAACGTACCCTATACTGATCTTGTACTAGGGCAATTCAGAAAGTTCGACATGGCAACTCCTTCATATAGAAACAGGTGTTCAAAAAAAAAAAAAAAAAAAAAAAAAAAACATCCGCATTTATAATTTTTCCATTTTAAAAAATTTAACACCTGTTTCTATATGAATAAGTTGCCAAATCGAAACAAAATTGAACATGTGTTCATAACAGATATGGAAGTTTCCGCGCTTACAAAAAAACCTTTCATACCCAAATGTTTCTTGTAACAAATCGAGGTACTTACGATGTCAGAGATACCACCTCACTGAAAAGTTCGTTGATGCCTGACTTAGTGGTTAACAAGACATTTAAAGACTAATCCATACTTTTCCTACTGATTTGTGTCGTCCATTAGTGAGAATACTAAACTGGTGTCTATTTGGTTGAAAACATGTCCAGAAGATTGCAATTTCTGTTGAAGATTAAGTCATTCATACAGACGGATGGAAGGACAAGGCTATAAGGTAGGAAATTATTATTTCGATGAGGTACAAACCGAATTAACCGAAATGCCAGAGAGGTGCATGTGGGAAATGATATTTCGACGCCTCCGAAGAAAAGTATGCTAAGTCTGAAAAGTGAGTTTTTCAGCTGAAGCTCTCAAAGCATGAATGTTTCTTAAATCTTACGTGTCATGCTAAGTACATTTTTGCTTATAACTTTGTTTTGGATTGGCCGATGATTACCACAATTTCAGAGAATTTAAATTAAGGACCGTAGTATCTAAAAACGTAAAGAACTTTAAAACATGCTAAGTTGACTTAGCATACTATTGTTCGGAGGCGTCGATTTGTACTGAACCATTTCAAAAATGGGAGATTTGAAGCGATATATTGACTTGGAAGAACTCACAATATAAAATCTCAAGAGGATCGTTGTCAAATTGAATTAGGAAGCACGTCACTATAGTCATTATATTGAAGTTCGCAGGTCTTTTACTGCCAATGAAGTGACAAATTTAATATACACTTCGACTTATGGCGGCGTCACAGGTGACAGAATCACGGATCTCAGCGTGATACAAAACTGCAATCGACGGTGTGTGCCTTCAAGAAGTACTTCAGATGGCGACTGGTCCGCTTGAGCTACTTATGACGATCAAATCAGAATGGAACACTAGAAGTTGATTATCGGAAATATTCCAAAAATTCGATAAACGAACAGGAGGACTATAACAATGTAAGTTCCTATTGGTGTTTGCGCCTTTTTAAAAGCCAAAAATTGGAATTGATAGGTCATACGCTGTACAGACCTGATCTGGGATCCATCTATTTTTGTTGTTAAAAGATGTGGTCTCGATCGGAGTGGTAAAAGTGATTCGATAATTGGTTTGAAGACTAGTTAGTACGGCGTTGCCGATTATAACATGGTTCAAGTTTGAAAGAAATTTTACTATGTGCAAAGTTTGTATCATATCGATTACATTCCTTCGACAGTTATCGTTCGTACCATCTCGACAGCGGAACATTATACCCTTCACTACACTGTGGTAACGAGTATTCTGTATTTGTGTATATGTTTATAACATGCAAAAGGAAACGAGATAGATCCATAATTCCTTTTGAGAATATGAATAGAATAGCTTTTGAGTCGATTTAGGAATGTCCGTACGTATTTTGATATAAAATTATAAACAAAGTAAAGGTCGCAATTATGATCAAGGACGAACCCTATTGAAAAAAAATCGGTTCAGATTTAGATAGAGTTCGCATAAATACTTTTGTCCGATTTCATGTAAAAGGTGCTGTTATACGGATCTAAAGCATGGGTACTTACACAAGTAAAGGAGGCAACTCTTGGAGTGTTTGAGAGAAAAATTCTCCGAAATAAATAGGGGCGATCTGAGTTGATGGTGAATATCGCTGTCGAATGAACCAAGAGCTGGACATCGACATTGTTGGACGTATTGAGCTGCAGCGACTACGTTGGCTGGGTCATGTTGTGAGAATGGATGAAGATGCCCTAGCTCAGAAGGCATATAAAAGCAAGCCAGCTGATGGTTCACGCAGAAGAGGCCAAGAATACGTTGGAAAGATCAAGTCCAAGAAAACATCGCCGAAAATGGTCTTTCGAATTGGAAAATCTGCGCAAAAGACCGACCGACGCGCCTGGAATATTTTCTAAGCTCGGCTTATGGAACGAAAGTTCTGCCACAAGCCAGCTAAGTAAGTAATAGGTTACAGAAAGGCTCGTGTATGAAACATCCATTTCATTTCAATGTTCTTTCAAAACTGCGACGTCTTTGAGGACATATATGTTGAATATATCCCAAGTGGCGAAGGGCCTCATCGTCATGTATGACGAATTATGGATCTATGCCTATAAATCCGACACAGAGCAGAAATCGACAATTTCGGTCGAAGCAGAACTAAATCCAACGAATTTATTGGTTAAAGATTCGCTTCGAAGCAAACAGTTGGCTGTTTCCGTTTGCTTCGGATGTCTTGAGATAAATTAGAAAATCGAATAAGATGAAACGAAAAAGTTGCATTAGCAATAAGCGGGATCTCACACAATGTATTGATTGATAAAAATCTGAAATTTATGGGTCATCCGCCATAAACCCAATGACTAGAAGATGGGGTCCCTGGACAGGACTAGGGAAATAGGAATTGATTGGAAGAGAACTTAGAATGTATCAGTCGGCGTTGTCGGCGTTGTAGCATGAGTTAGTACAAATGGAATTCTTTGCTGCCACAGTTGTGTATTTTTATTTGTGATATTCTCATTGGGTCATGGTACTTGCAGGGTACAAGGTGAATCATTCTGCAAAATTTGCGAATTATAATCGATGAGGAGCACTTGTAATGGCTGCTGATGTTGCTGTGTGACATTATTGCATTCAGCCACATAGGGTAATGGTTTCATTGAGGTTGCACTTTCGAGGTGGGTTACATTTTCATGGCGTTCCGATTCGAGATTACTTATATCAATACTACTAAGGCTGAGGCGTCCGAGACGGAGGTCACATGAGACCTATGGCAGATCAATTTACATTCATTCTTCGGTTTTTAATATAAACAAATAAGAGCAACCATAAGCTACTACTACTGGTGTCGAAGTTAGATTTCTAATTAAGCCAAACTTGCGAATTATAATTTATGGGATCTTTTATTTGTGCGGTACACTTGTAATTGATGCTGCTGTGGCATTATTGCATCTAGCCGCATAGTGTAATGCAATCGTGGAGAATAAACAAATCGTTATGGGTCACCATTTCATAAAGATTCTGCTCAATACTATGTTATTTAGAAATTGAACAAGCACCAGTTACTCCAGACGGCGAAGTTAAGTTTTCAATAAGGCAAGGCCATTTTTAATGTAACCTACGTATCTACGCCTGATGTGGGCCTTCAATATATAAACATTCAAGGGGTACCGTGTATATCAACATATCGAAATGAAGAACATGAGCCAAGTCGCATGCTGGGTGTATCGGTCCACTTCTTCTGGTACCTTCCTAAAAAATAGTCAACATATTCTTCAATCTCTAATAAAACTAATCGATTTTCAGATTGCACCTACATACCTTCTTTAAAAATCTCCAAAAAAATATTTCTTTACTTAGGATTGTTTACAAAATATCCCAATCACAAATGATAACAACAATAAAATAAATTAATGGTAACAAAATAGGTTTTGTACTTACTTGCCGAACTCGTCGATACCCGTCCCATGGGTATATAACTTCGACTATCGCTATTGTCCTGCGAAAAGTTAATGACATTAACATCATAGGTGACCACGGAGGCTTGACGTTTGCGCACCGTCTGGATACCCTCATAACCGGTCAGTAGCGAGCTACGTTTGCGTCCACCACCACTAACAGAGGTAGTCGTGAGTGTTGTTTCCGGTTCACTGTCAGGACGTTGATATAAAGGTGATGCTAAGTCTTTCTCCTCTCCTGTTAAAGAACCGCCACTGCCGCTAAGGCCATTGCCGGCGGAACCACGTCGATGTTGTTGCATTGAGGTGGCCGGCGTTAGGGTGGAATCTAAAATAATTTCCGGTTTGGGTGAAATGTTCGTTGGTTGTAATGTGGGTTCAAGTTGTTGCTGTTGCTGGGTGATGGGGGCATTGGTGGTTGGTGATGCAGCCAGTGTGGTAAAAACATCCAGGGACACGGTGGATGTGTCACTAATAACAAAATGCTGATGATGATTTGTTGTTGTTGGTGAACTGCTTAGGGGAAACATGGGCTGGGTAGCCGTGGCGGTGGGTGGTGGTGAAAGAAAATATACATTTATGCTATTGCCTCCCACAAGGCTAGGTGTTGCCGAAAATGGTGATTGGCCCAGGGTGTTGGGACTCCGACTAACCGGCAGATTTATGGCGGAATTAAAGTTTGGAGTTATGGGTGGTGACATTAGGAAATTACTGCTGTTTTTGTTCACCAAAATCTGATCGCTTAGGGTGCTCATACGCTGCTTAATGGACTCTTTACGTAAGGTGTGACTGGCATCTGTAGATTTCTGGGATTTGTCGGGTGATTCTTTGTGAAAAGACTGTTCGGTGGATGGGAAACTCAGAGAACGAAATAATTCCACCAGCTCGGAACTGGATTTTTGTGAACTTTGTGATTTTTCGGGTATGGTGGAATTGTTATCGGACTTAAAGGCCTCCGGTATAGAGGCATCCATTAGGGAGGAGGGTGATAGCGAAGGTGGTGGGGTAGAGGGCAACAATGGGGAATCATTGGAGGTTATGTCCTTGAGGAACGATAAATCATCAGGTCCAACTTCTTGCACGGTATTTGCACCCAAATCGATCAGCTGGAAATGAGTTGGCGGAGAATGTCTATTGTTCGAGTCCTGCTCTCTTGCTTGTGGTTCATCCATTTGCTCTGATTGTTCATTGAGAACATTTATGTCGAGCAGAATATCTGGGGTATTGTAACGGCTGGTGGAATCGATGCTATCACCGAAAAGCCTCGGCAAATAGACATCCGAATCTGTGTCACTGTGTTGGCGGGAACGCATATCACGTTTCCTCTCCTTGAGTCCACCATTATAGCTGTGGGAGAGTTTACGATTCCGCGATCTTTTGAAGAGTTGGGAACGACTTGATTTAATCTCTTCGGAATTGGCTTGATGCCGTTTCTTTTCCAGCGAAAAACATTCCGTGCTGGAACGTTTGGTTTTCGCGAGCAGAGATTTTAAATTAAATCCCTTACTGCTAACCTCTTTGGGGGTGGACTGCACGGAACCCTCCTTGAGGGAATCCAAATGTTTTGTCTTTTTCACCTTCACATCGTCGTAATTTTTAAGGAACTCTGAGTCACTGGCGACAAAGGGTTTCTTTGCCCCTGAGCCAGCTGCCTGGCTCCGTTGGCGATTTTCACCATTTTTCATGCGTATAAAATCAGTCTCACTCAAGGCTGGATATTTATTGCCCGAAAAGAATTCTTTGTTGTGTTCGTGTTGTTGTTGTTGCTGCTGTTGTTGGTTATCACTGGCCTTTTGCAATTGACCCGCCTGTCGTTTGTAATACAAATAATTATCTTCAATAAGACGTTTAAGCTCTTTATTATCCTCTGAGAGGGGTATGAGGGTTGCAGGAGCGGCAGTTTGTTTTAATTTTATTAAATAACCGTTGCTCTCGCTGTCATCACTGTGGAAATGTCCCCGGCCACAATCACTGCCACCGCTACCACCAAATATGCTGTGGTATTGATCGGAATCACAACCAGAGTTTCTATAGAAATTTGAATCCTGCTGCCGGCGTAGAGAATCCCTACTGGAGGCAGAGGCATTTGTAAATTGTTTAACACCGTTGCCGCCACCACCACCGCCATTACCATTCCCATTCACCTGAGGTATGGGTATGGCAATGCTTTGCTGTAAGGGTGAGTCATTTTTCATATCCTGCCAAATTTGCGGATTATAATTGATGAGATCCTTATTGGTGCAGGGCACTTGTAATTGCTGCTGCTGCTGTGTGGCATTATTGCTTGTGGCCGCATAGTGTAATGCTATCATTGAGGGTGCACTATCGGTGTGGGTCACCTTTTCATAACGTTCCTGTTCGAGATCACGTAAATCAATACTACTACGGCTAAGACGTCTGGGTGGTGGTGAGGGCACCCGTAACTCATCGCATTCATCTTTGTCATCGTCATCGGTTTGTGGTATCTCCTGTAATGTACGGTATGGATATAAGTGAGTGAGTGTGTGGGTGTGTGCGAGATAGAAGAGCAGATAAAGCCGATTAAAGTGTATGCCATGTTTTCAGGTCAAAAGGGAAATATTGAAGAAAAACCCTTTAAGTGTGGGATTCGGTTAAGTTTACGATAATACCTAAAAGTTCCCTATGAGCTACAGAAGACTAAGAGGTGCTCTAAAGATTATCGAAGTACAAGTGGTCTCCTAAAACCTATTAATGAAACGGAGGTCTGAAGATTTTCTTGGGACTATTGAAGACCAACTGATTTTCTATAGACCAATGAATATCTTCAATGGACTACTGAATTCCTAAAAAATACTTTTACCACAAGACAGTCTCTTGAAAAAATATACGTCCCTTGAAAAAATATTCTTTAAAAAAATATACGTCCATTGAAAAAATATTCTTTAAAAAGTCTACGTGCCTTGAAAAAATATTCTTTAAAAAATATACGTCCCTTGAAAAAATATTCTTTAAAAAATCTACGCCTTGTGGTAGTCCCTTGAAAAAATATTCTTTAAAAAATCTACGCCTTGTGATAGGCCCTTAAAAATATTCTTAAAAAAATGTACGCCTTGTGATAGGCCCTTAAAAATATTCTTAAAAAAATGTACGCCTTGTGATAGGCCCTTAAAAATATTCTTAAAAAAATGTACGCCTTGTGATAGGCCCTTAAAAATATTCTTTAAAAAATCTACGCTTTGTGATAGGCCCTTAAAAATATTCTTTAAAAAATCTACGCCTTGTGATAGGCCCTTAAAAATATTCTTTAAAAAATCTACGCCTTGTGATAGGCCCTTAAAAATATTCTTTAAAAAATCTACGCCTTGTGATAGGCCCTTAAAAATATTCTTTAAAAAATCTACGCCTTGTATAGGCCCTTAAAAATATTCTTTAAAAATCTACGCCTTGTGATAGGCCCTTAAAAATATTCTTTAAAAAATCTACGCCTTGTGATAGGCCCTTAAAATATTCTTTAAAAATCTACGCCTTGTGATAGGCCCTTAAAAATATTCTTTAAAAAATCTACGCCTTGTGGTAGTCCCTTGAAAAAATATTCTTTAAAAAATCTACGCCTTGTGGTAGTCCCTTGAAAAAATATTCTTTAAAAAATCTACGCCTTGTGGTAGTCCCTTGAAAAAATATTCTTTAAAAAATCTACGCCTTGTGGTAGTCCCTTGAAAAAATATTCTTTAAAAAATCTACGCCTTGTGGTAGTCCCTTGGATCCATACTTACCTCAAAATGACTTATGGCACTATGAGTCTCTTCTCTCGTTAGGGTTAATTCACATTCACTGGGATGTAAATAATTCAAATTGGTGGGCTGTTGTGTATGGCCCATATGTACACTATTTAGCAAAATGTTGGAACTAGTGCGGCTTAAGGCCTTCCGTTGACGTACTGCCTCTCTGCAATGACAAACAACAAACGAACATATTTCAAAATACATACTTACATACATTCCCTTCTAAATTGCCCCCTCATACTCACTTGTATATACGAAAATACATAACCAACATCACAATGCCGGGTATCCAAAAACTAACCGAACTGGATATTAGGGCATAGGCTTTGTTCACCACAAAGGAACATTGATCGGGATTCTGGGATATTTCCTCTAAATGTTCAGCCGTTGTATACCAACCCAAAAATATTGGCGTAAAGGAGATGAGAGCGGGCAGTATCCAGACATTGGCCAGCATAAAACAAACGGTTTTGTGTGTCATATTCAGTGGATATTCCAGGGGCCGGACAATGGCATAGTATCTGTAGGGGTTAGAAAGAGAGAGAGAAGGAGGAAGGGAGGTGAGTGCTACATGAATTGATATTAAAACGAACATTTAGTGACACAAATTGCTGTTGTGGTTTTTCAAAATTGACATGGGGTTTTGTTATTGTAGTTGATATGAAAATTTCGATATTACACAGGACTACAAATATGTTTGTATTTTAATACAGAATAAGAGTTAAAATCTAATAAAATACCCTAAGAATGGTCTATGGTCTTTTGTTCCTTTAGAAAATATATTTTAAAAATCCACGCCTTGTGATAGTCTTTTCCTTTAGAAAATATATTTTAAAAATCCACGCCTTGTGATAGTCTTTTCCTTTAGAAAAGATATTTTATAAATCCACGCCTTGTGATAGTCTTTTCCTTTAGAAAATATATTTTAAAAATCCACGCCTTGTGATAGTCTTTTCCTTTAGAAAATATATTTTAAAAATCCACGCCTTGTGATAGTCTTTTCCTTTAGAAAAGATATTTTATAAATCCACGCCTTGTGATAATGGTCCTTGACATCCACGCCTTGTGATAGTCTTTTCCTTTAGAAAATATATTTTTCCTTTAGAAAATATATTTTAAAAATCCACGCCTTGTGATAGTCTTTTCCTTTAGAAAATATATTTTAAAAATCCACGCCTTGTGATAGTCTTTTCCTTTAGAAAATATATTTTAAAAATCCACGCCTTGTGATAGTCTTTTCCTTTAGAAAAGATATTTTATAAATCCACGCCTTGTGATAGTCTTTTCCTTTAGAAAATATATTTTAAAAATCCACGCCTTGTGATAGTCCTTTAGAAAATATATTTTAAAAATCCACGCCTTGTGATAGTCCTTTAGAAAATATATTTTAAAAATCCACGCCTTGTGATAGTCCTTTAGAAAATATCTTTTAAAAATCCACGCCTTGTGATAGTCCTTTAGAAAATATCTTTTAAAAATCCACGCCTTGTGATAGTCCTTTAAAAAATATCTTTTAAAAATCCACGCCTTGTGATAGTCCTTTAAAAAATATCTTTTAAAAATCCACGCCTTGTGATAGTCCTTAAGAAAATATCGTTTAAAAATCCACGCCTTGTGTTGGTCCTTAAGAAAATATCGTTTAAAAATCCACGCCTTGTGGTCCTTAAGAAAATATTTTTAAAAAATTCACGTCAGGCTATCAAACGATGTGGATTATTTTAAAAATATTTTTTCAAGGTGTGAATTTTTTAGTAGTATAACTTGTAGGCATTTATTGTACAATAAATCTTTTTTCAACATTTTCATTTCTTTGTATTTTTAAATCATTCATCATTTAATAAATCATTTCGAAATATTAATTAATTTATTTCTCAACAATTTATCAATTAATAAAAATGTTATGGCCAGTCATTAATTCCAATGGAACAGCTGTCATTTATTTCATTTTCCCCAGTTACGGATTTCATAACAAATCATTACCATTGCAATTGTTCAGCATTACTCCTCTTCTCTTCCGATTGGCGGAATGTGTTCCCTTATTTAACGTTAATAATAAATAATTCTTTTCAAATTGATATTTCCATAATTCGTTAATATTTTTTCTGAGAAGGAAGTTGAAATAAATTTATCCGCAAAAAAGAAAAAAAATGCCACCATTAAAATAAATGCCATCGCAAGTATTAATTTCAGTTTTGCCACAATGATATTGCCGGTAATAAGAATTGTGGTAAAGACAAGCGAACGCACGCACACACACACTCTCATAGTCCTCATTTACACGCACACCAACATCATTATGCACTTAAAGTTAAACCAAAATTAAAATACTTTTGGCAAAAATGTAATGATTAATGGTTCCCTTAAGGCACAGCCATGAACAGCCAGCCCCATTCATTCTCCTCAACATCACTCCGCTTTGTCTTATACGGACGAAGGCGAACGAACACACATACACATGCAAGCAATTATACAAATATTATGATAAGAGAAATTCTTGGGCAAATATAAAGAAATTTATTTTTTGACTCCGCAAGGCACTCAAATAATTTGTCTAAGTTCATAAGAACTTCGAAAAAGAAGATTAAAGTTTTATTTCACATATGCATATATTAATTATGAGAGAAAGTTTGCAGTTCGTGGGCTTTGACTGCAGTTTCCAATACTTCGAATTGGAATAATGAATATTTTTTTAAAGGACTATCACAAAAAATCACTTGAAAAAATTTACGCATTGTAATAGTCCTTGAAAAACTATTCCTTAAAAAATCCACGCCTTGTAATACTTACTTACTTAGCTGACTTGTGACAGAACTTTCGTTCCATAAGCCGAGCTTGGAAAAGATTTCCAGGCGCTTCGGTCGGTCTTTTGCGCAGTTTTTCCAATTTGAAATACCATTTTCGGCGATGTTGTCTTCGACTTGATCTTTCCATCGTATTCATGGCCTTCCCCTTCTGCGTGAACCATCAGCTGGTTCGCTTTTATATGCCTTCTGGGCTGGGGCATGACCTAGCCAACGTAGTCGCTGCAGCTCAATACGTCTTACAATGTCGATGTCCGAGAATATCTGGTACAACTCATGGTTCATTCAACGGCGACCGTCAAAGATCGGCCCATAGATCTTTCGGAGAATTTTCCTCTCAAACACTCCATGCTTCAGATCCATATAACAGCACGGATAGTATCAGCGTCTTGTAGAGTGTGGGTTTGGTCTGGCGGGAGGTGTCCTTGCTTTTGAGTTGTTTGCTCAGACCATAGTAGCATCGGTTGGCCATTACTATCCTTCTCCGAATTTTAAAACTGATGTCATTCGTTTTGATTATGGCGGTACCAAGGTATATAAAATCTTTGACAACCTCGAAGCTGTAGTTCTCATGTTCCACAGTTGGTCCGAGTCTACTGGATGTCTTGCGCGTTGATACCATCATCAGTTTGGTCTTCTTCCGTTTACTGCCAGTCCACCAGACCCACCGAATTTAACTGCTGATCTTGTGCCAGTTAAAGTTATCCCGCATAGCCGAATTAATTTTGCAGGAATGCCAAACGCAGACATGGCTTTAAATACCTCTGAATGGATAGGACTGTCGAATGCGGCTTTATAGTCGACGAATAGGTGGAATGTGTCGATGTGTTTTTTGAGGGTTTTTTTTCCAGAATTTGGCGCAGAGTGAAAATCTGGTCAATGGTGGATTTGCCAGGTCTGAAGCCACATTGGTATGGTCCAATAATGTCATTGAACATTGGCTTCAGTCGTTCAGGAGGTATTCTTCTTCCTATGGAAGACCTTGAGGTATCTTTCTTACTATAGGAGAGCTGCATGCAATTTTCTTCCTACAGGAATGCTAGAAAGTTGGAGGTATTCTTCCTCCTATAGCAGAAGTGTTATCCAGCGTATAGCACTTTATATGCGATGGGAAATAGACTTATTCCTCTATAGTTGGTACATATCGTCTTGTCTCCTTTTTTGTGAACGGGACACAGGATGCTGAAGTTCCAATCATTGGGCATGCATTCCTCTAGCCAAATTGTACAAATCAGCTGGTGCATGCTCCTGACCAGGTCTGAAGCCACATTGGTATGGTCCAATAATGTCATTGAACATTGGCTTCAGTCGTTCAGGAGGTATTCTTCTTCCTATGGAAGACCTTGAGGTATCTTTCTTCCTATAGGAGAGCTGCATGCAATTTTCTTCCTACAGGAATGCTAGAAAGTTGGAGGTATTCTTCCTCCTATAGCAGAAGTGTTATCCAGCGTATAGCACTTTATATGCTATGGGAAATAGACTTATTCCTCTATAGTTGGTACATATCGTCTTGTCTCCTTTTTTGTGAACGGGACACAGGATGCTGAAGTTCCAATCATTGGGCATGCATTCCTCTAGCCAAATTGTACTAATCAGCTGGTGCATGCTCCTGACCAGCATCCTGATTAATTGCTTTAATGACCTCATCTTGGCTAGGTGGTATACATTCTATACCGTCATCCATTATTGGTTCTGGGGTATCCTCTTCACCGCTACTATTTGATACCAGAAGCTTTAAAAAATGCTCCTTTCAGATCCTCAACACGATGTCTGTATCTGTCACCAGGTTTCCTTCTTCTTTCAGCATCAACATCGTCATCATCATCATCTTTACCATGAAGTTGTATGTGTGTGGAGAGGGTTGTCAAAGAATCGTTGAAAGTGTTGCGGATACGAAGTACGATAATAAAGATACTCTATTTAACTGTTTTAAAAAAGAGGGGTCGCACATTACCACTACACTTGAGTTGTAGTCGACGAAATCAATTTAGATGATCTTTTAAAAAATGCTCCTTTCAGATCCTCAACACGATGTCTGTATCTGTCACCAGGTTTCCTTCTTAATCTCTACAGAAGGATGTGTCTGCACCAAAGCCATCGGTTTGGTGTTTTACCCGTTAGTAGAATTTTCGGACTTCATTCTGACTCCTGTATATCTCGGTTTGCTCACGCTCACGTCTTTCTTGCTCTTTCTGTTTTTTTTTTTTTTTCTGAAAATACGTTTCTCTTCTCTCCTTTTCTCCCGATAGTTCCTCATCCCATTACGTGTTGCTACTGTCCGCAGGGTTGCCCTATACGCTGCGTTTTTCATATCAGTAGCATTACGACACTCCTGATCGTACAACGGATTTCTTGATGGTGGTCTTTGGTACCCAAGTGTTGTTTTTGCTGCAATTTGTAGGGTGTGGGCAATTATCGGCCATTGTGCTTCTATATTATTATCGGGACAAGGGGTGCTTTCGTCAAGTAGTTGGGTAAGTTGAGCGGAGTAGGCAACTGCTATCTGTTGTGTTTGCAGCTTTTCGATGTCAAATTTCCGTGTTACATTAGATTGCACCTTTGCTGCAACATTAAGACGGATGCGTACCTTGGCTGCCACAAGGTAATGGTCCGAATCGATATTCGCTCCCCGGATCGATCGGACATCTAAAACACTGGATGAATGCATTCCGTCCATCCCAACATGGTCAATTTGATTTCTCGTTTTTCGATGCAAGTGG